AATCTTTAGGGAAGCAGACTGCCACATCTTTCTCCTGCTGAGCGGCTGGTGGGTTTGGACCGCCAACTTTTGGTTAGCAGCCAAGCACTTAACCACTGCCCCACCAGGGAGCCTTAGAGGCTAGGAAAGAGGGTTTTAAAGATTTACTTGAACGAAGGCCATTTAGGGCTGGGAGGGGAAAGTAGATGGGCTTGGCATTGGGAGCAGGAACGTTCTCCTGCAGGTTGAGTGATGTGGGCCCCAGAAAGGGTAGGTTTCTGAGTGGGGCTTTCCCGGCAGTGAGCAGTTCTCAGCTGTACCCCTGAAGGGCCCAGTAGGCAAAGTGGATGGAATGGAATTGTTGCTCAAAACTTGTTCAGAGAAAGGTGAGGGGTTATCCCCAGAGCAGGGTGCCACCAGGGTATACTCACCACCTCCATATGGCCCTTGTGCTTCTAGAGAGGTAGTGTGGTGGACTAGAAGGGCCTTTGGAATCAGGCAGACCTGGAAGCTAGGCCCAGCTCAACCACTTTGGGCTGAGTAATCTTTGGCAAATCACTCCTCTGAGCTTCAATTTCCTCACCTACAAACTGAGGCTATGATAATATCTACCTTGGGACATTGTTGTGAAGATTAAAAATAATATATGTAAAGCTATATATGTATATAATATATGCAATATATGTAAATAATATGTGTATATAAGTCTCTGGGTGGCACAAACGGTTTGCATTCAACTACCAATCAAAAGGTTGGTGGCTCCAACCGACCCAGCAGCCCCCTGAAAGAAAGGTCTGGTGGTCTGCTTCCATAAAGATCACAGCCAAGAAAGCCCCGTGGAGCTCAGTTCTACTCTCTAACACATGGTGTCGCCATGAGTCAGAATTGACTCAACAGCAATGAGTTTGTTTTTTTCCCAGCATATAGTAGGCACTCAGTACACAGTAGCTATTATTTTTATTCCTGCTACTACCACACTAGACTAGACTGGCCTAAGACATTGCTGAGTTGTTCTCCCTTTGAGAGATTTGTTGCCAGTTGAGACAAGAAGCTGAAATTTAAGACATTCTTCACCAGCCTTTCACGTACATTCGTCAAAGATGGCCTGGCAGACAGATGTGTAAAAACTGGTTCTCAGTTTCCACTGCACATAGCAATTCTCTCCTTTGCCAATCATCTCAGCACACAAAGACAAGCATGTCACAAACTTTTTGGCTGGTGGCAACATATAGAAGATAAATTGAGAAAACATTGGAGGGATGTGGGTCAAAATAAAGTTCTGAAATGCTGAATTAAAGAATGCATTCCCTCCTTAGTCCTCCTAACCTACCAACAGCCTGCTACTCTTACTCCTCGTTCTCGTGTCATGTTTTATAATTTGTCAATGTGCTTTCCATATTCATTTACTCCTCAGTCTGGCCTGTGAGGTGGGTAGGGTAGATGTTGTCTGCATGTGGGAAAGCCTATGACAGTAGCTGAGGGACTAGAACCCATGTCTCCTCGTTCTGGAACATGAGTGACCTGACCTGGTTGAGCTGTACCTTGGATGAATGAGTTAAAAGAAATCTGTGAGGAAATGATGCACAGGTGTTAGGGAGTCGTGTTTTGCAAGGAGACAGTGGTAACAATACCATGTTGCTGTAGGGTACCTAACAGAGACGGGTACTGTCTTAGTTATCTAGTGCTGCTATGACAGAAATACCACAAGTGGATGGCTTTAACAAACACAGATTTATTCTCTCACAGTTTAGGAGGTTAGAAGTCTGAATTTAGGGTGTGGCTCTAGGAGAAAAGTCCTTCTTCGTCTATTTCAGCTTCTGTGGTTGTGTGCCCTCGAGTCGATTTCAACTCATAGCGAGTCTGTATGGCAGAGCAGATCTGCCCCATAGGGTTTCCTAGGCTGTGATCTTTACAGCAACAGATCGCCAGGTCTTTTCTCCCGCAGAATGGCTGGTAGGTTCTGACTGCTGACCCTTCCGCTTTGGTTAGCAGCTGAGCATTTAACCATTGCGCCACCAGGGCTCCTTATTTCAGCTTCTAATAGCTTGCAATCCTTGGAGTTCTTGGGCTTGTAGAGTCATCTGCCTCTGCTGTCTTCAGATAGCATCTGTCTTCCCCCATTTGTGCTCACTTGTCTCTATGTCTATGCTGTTCCTTGTAACTTCGAAGTGATTAGGTTTAGGACACACCCTATACTGATACGACTTCATTAACATAAGAAAGAAAACCCATCCACACAGATACAGGGGTTAGAATTCCAACACATATTTTGGCGCGGGGGGGGGGGGGGGGACGACACAATTCAATCCATAACAGGTGGTATTGTGCCTGTTGTGCTGATGAGCAAGCAGAGGAGGACATTCTGGAGTTCAGATGATGCAGAGAGGTGGTTTTAGTTTCAAAAGTTTCCCCCTTTTCAAATTATTTTAAATGACAGAAGTGAAGAATTTGCCAGGGATCACCCAGCTAGGGAGTGGTAGAGCCCTGAGAATGGAGACTGTGACTCCAACTTTTTGAGCTTGAAATCAGCTCATTCAGGCCCCCCACCCCTTTCTCACGGGGGTGTTGAGAGGCACAAGAGTGGAAAGGACAAATCACTGTGCAAAGACATTAAAAGAAATAGTGCCCAGAATTCACCTTTTCCAAATCTAAGTAGATTCCTTCCACATGAGAGCCGTTGAGGGCAAATACTCTGGCTAAACTGATACGTTTGCACACTCATCTCTGGACCTCTAGTTGGGAGATCAGGATTTAAGCCTGAGCCCTTCTACTTGTTAGCTGTGTGACTCAAGTAAGTCACTCACTTCATCTCTCTGAGCCAGTTTCCTCCTCGGTAAAATGAAGATATCCTCTCTTGCCTGACAGATTGGGAGTTAAATAAGCCATGTATGCAAAAGCATTTTGCAAACTATAAAGCAGTATTGTTACCTGTTGAAAGTTTTAAGAAGTCTTCATTTCCTAGAGTCCACCAAACTTAGCTCACTCTAGGACCCTGAAAGCCCTCGCTCTGGTGGGAGTACAGAAGGTGGTTCTTTTTTGGTTTCTCTTGCAGTCAGGAAGTCTGAACTGGGGAGGAAAATGGAGAAAGATGGGCTTGCTCACTGCCTCCCTCCTCTTATTCACCCCTCCCGCCCGCTGAGTGGGGAATGGCGGGGGAGCCGGCATAACCTTTTCTTTGGTGAGTCAGCTAAGAAGGAATTTCTAAAGCACTAACGGTGTATAAGTGGTAGTTTTAGTTTGGCTGTTTAAAGCTGCTCCCTTTTTAAGCAGTTTTAAAACACGTAACTAAAAGCACTAGCAGTTGGGAAGCACGTGAAGAATGATAGAAGCCCAGCTTTTTACTAGTGTGAATGTGAGGAAATCACTCAGCTTCTCTGTGCCTGTTTTCTCATCTGTAAAATGAGGATGTTACCTATTTTGTAGGGTCGTTGTGAATATTAAGATAATAGTATGTGAAAGTGCCTAGCACATAACAAAGGCCCCAATCCTATCCATTTCTTTTCTAAGTGGACAGACTGTAAAAAATACCCTTATTCTTCAGTTGCCTGAGTTTATTATGATGGCTGCCATTATTCATCTTATTCTAACAACCCCATGCGACAGCTCTTGTCTACATTTTACACACTAAGGAAGGAAACTATTGCTCAGAAAAGTTTAATTGCCCAAGGTCACACAGCTTGTAATTTTCAAAGCCAGGGTTCAAACCCACCGTGTCTGGCTTGCCTCTTAGGTAACAGAATGTATGAGGGGGCTCGATCAAGCTTAAATAGACCTGGACCAAGGGGGTAACCTCAACTTGGCCCAAGGTTTGGGAATAAACTGACTCAGAGAGGAGTTCCAAGGGCAAGGAATAAGCCGTTGCTAGAGAGGCAGCTTAACTGATGTTTGCCTCTCAAATCCTCGGGGAATTTAACCTGTGCTTCTACCAGTTTCAGGAGCTTACGTTGTGAGGGTGAGATGAGTCCGTTATTAAGCAGCGTGCGAAATGTGTTATTGGTGGTCTTCTTCCTGTCATCTCCCACCAAACACAACCTCCTACGCATCGCCTGACAGCCCCCACTTACCACCCTATAAACAAGAGGGAAGTAAATCTTTTCAAAACCCTTTCCTAAGCTGGGCTGCAGAAGGTACGAAGGGGTGAGTCATCTTCCTCTTAACAGAAAACCTAAATGTACCAAAGCCATTTAGAACAAAAGTATGTTTTCTGTACATTTAACACGACTGCTTTTTTAAGGTAGCAACCCAGTGCTGAGGTTATGTCTTCTCTCTACTCCAGAAAGTGGGTACCTTTTAGTGTCATCTGTACTGTCCCCCTCCTTCACACCCAGCTATCAGTATGATTCCAGGCATCTCACTAAACAGCGAAACGACCACCATTGTACATTTACCCAGGCCAGGTTCAGGCTGTGCAGTATTGCACAGCATAGGCATGGAAGGAGCCAAAATGGTCTATGGGGCTAATTTAGGAGCTAGGCATCTGAGGCTACTGCTCACCCAAAGGATCATGGCTAATACGCGAACAAGGGCCCTGGCCTCTGACACACAAGGATGACTCTAGTAGTGCTGTATCTGTTTCTTTCATTCTCTTACTCATCTTATTTAAGGGTATCTAATTCTTTTCTGCCTCCCCGACAGCTCTCAGCACCGAATCTTAAATGTAGCAGACCTTCAGTAAACGTTGAACTTGGAGAAACCCAAGCTATCTCCTAGCCAAGAGGAGGACTAGGTAGACAGGACTGGGAGATAGTCTAACCATTCATGGTTCATTCACTTACTGCTCCAATTCCTGAGAACAGTGCTGTGCAGCAGGGAAAGTCCTTGCCTTTGTGCTCTCCCCTTGTAAAGCACAGTGCTGGGGTGTTTCACACAGGTTTCACACCATGTACCCAGGAGCTAATCTGGGCAGCTCTAATGTTGGGGAATTCACTGCCCAGATCAAACGGAGATGACCAGGCTCTCTCCATCAGCCCAAGGACCCGCAGTTGACCACTCCCCCAGCAAAAAAACAGCCGATACCCATATTGTTCTGCAGAGGCTCAGTAATAGAAGGGATTTTATTATTTTTTAGAGAAAAATCATACAGCCATTGATTATACAGAGCCATTTCTCAGTGCTCTTTTCTGTCCACTTAAATTGAAATATGCCATGATAAGGATGATAATGCTGAAACAAGATTGTTGGCTCATCATCTAGGTACAAATACACAGTTAATCGCTTGACACTTTATTGAACACAAAGCAAGATGAAGCGTCTTTGCTTTTGTCGTACACAGCTGAAGCAGGAGTCCAGGGAGGGGAAGACTGTGCAGCTTTCCTTGGAGGGAAAGATGTGAGCCCCTCTAGTCTCGTCTTGTTGTGGGAAGATTAACCCATGTTCTGTCTGTTGCCGTAACCCCTAGGATGAGTGTCCTTCCAGTCATCCCACTCCCGGGCTCTTTGTAGTGCCTTCTCATCATCCTCTTCCTCCTTTTGTTCCTGATCTTCCTGTTGCTGAGCTGCTTTTTTGAACTCTGCTAAAGTGAAAAATGAGAAAGTAGGGGTGAGAAATTAACACTGGTATGTTAATAAGAAATCAAGGTTCTCAGCTCCATTCTGAGTACAACCACATAAAATGAGAACAAGGTAGCTGTGTACCCTGTGCCCAGCAGAAGTGGGTAGAGTACTTATATTACTTAACACATCATATGTTAAATAATAGTAAGAAACGATGCTCTGAATGGTTTGCAGAAGGCAAAAACATGTAAAAACTGTCCCTCAGAATGAATTCTATTTTGGGAAAAAAAATCCTTGCTAAAATGGCCAAAAAAACCTCTAAACAAACAAACAGAACCTCAGAAAAACCAAAACTACTAAGGTAAAAAAATATTTGATTTTATGATTTGTGATATGCCAGGGAGGTGGGACGAAGTGACTTTTCCTCCTCCATTCATTTCCTTTATTATAGTCATCTAGTCATATGTTTGTGTAAAATTGAAAATCACAGGGCAGTTGGATCTACTGGAAAAGAATACCTCTGCGTTATTTTGCACCTGCCTGGTACAGGTACAAAGGGCATTTGCCATGCAGTGCACACACAAAAGAAATTAAACTAACTGCTACATCTTCCTTTTGCATGTGTTTTTTCCTTTGTAAGGCAAAGCAACCTTCTTCCTGGCTACCCTGAACTTGCTCATGAGAAAAATTATCATTACTGTAAGAAATGAAATACGTGAGGATCTCATCTGTTCTAACAGCCTAAAAGTCTTGTGTTCTTTTTTAAAAAGCCTTTTTATTGTAAAACAAAACAGATACAGGAAACCACACACACACACTACACACACACACATTGTAAGTTTTTAGAAGGCAAATACCCTGGTAAGTCGCCATCCAGGTCAAGAAATAGATCTTTTCTACCTATCCCAGAAGGCTCTCCATGTGCTCATTCAAATCACAACTCCTTCTTCTCCCTCCAAAAGTAACCACTATACGGCCTTTCACAGTCATAACCTCCTAGAGTTTATTATAGTTTTATGACCCAAGTGTGCATCCCTAGACACTATAGTTGCCTGTTTTTACATTCATTTTTTATTCAATGATTTTTAGTAAATGTACAGAGTTGTGCAATCATTATCCCAAACTAATTTTTAAAAATTTCTAACACCCCCAAAAGATCCCTTGTGCCCATTTACAGTCACTCCCTATGCCCCCTCCTCCCAGCCCCTAGCGATCACTAATGTACTTCTGCTCCCATGTTGTTTTGTTTAGTTGCCCTTGAGTCAATTCTGACTCATAGCAAGCCTGTGTTACAGAGTAGAACTGCCCCATAGTTTTCTTGGCTGTAATCTTAACAAAAGCAGATAGCCAGGCCTATCTTCCACGGTACCACTGGGGTGAGGGTTTGAACCCCCAACCTTTAGGTTAGCAGTTGAACACAAACTGTTTGTGCTACCTAGGGACCTCTGTCTCCACAGATTTACCTTTTCTAGACATTTCAAATAAATGGAATCCATATAATATGTAGTCTTTTGTGACTGGCTTTTCACTTTGCATGTTTTTGAGGTTAGTCTTGCCCATTTGAAAGTATTTTGATATTTTAATCTATAGGTTCTCCCTCCATCCCTCTTTTCTTACAAGTTATCTGTTAAAGAAGCTGGGGCATCTGACCTGTAGTTAGCTGCCCAAAGCCTGGATTTTGCTCATTGTATAGTCATGACGCAGTTCAACATGGTCGTCCGTGTTTCCTGCAGATTGGCAGCTGGATATAGAGACTTGATCTGACTCGTTTCATCCCTTTGGCATGATTATAGATCGTGCCGTGTTCCTTGATCAGGAGGCATATAATATCTGTGGTCTCATTTGTTGTGATGTTAACAGCCACTGATGTTCCATGCCTAGAGCCACTGATTTACTGGGAGGCAGGGTTTAAAATAGTGATACTCTTAATTTTATCATTTCTTTTTTATTTAGTTACCCAGGAGAAAAGACAAATGCTTGATTCTCTTTATTTGCCACTTCTCCAGATAATACACTGGTTCCCTATTATCTTCTGAAGTTGAACAGTTTATTTTTGTTTTTAATATAATTATGAACTCATGGATTTAAACATATTTGATGGGTTTCAATCAAGTGCAATTATTCTTCTGGAATGTTTAAATAAACATTTTAATTTTAGAACAGTTTTAGATTTACAAAAAAATTAAGACAGTTCAGAGAATTCCCATGAACACCGTACCCAGTTTCCCCTACTGTTAGGAGCTTACATTACTATGGTTTATGTGTCACAACTAATGAACCAATACTGATACATTATTAACAACTGAAGTCCATACTTTATTCAGATTTCCTCAGTTTTTAACAAATCTCCTTTTTCTGACCTGGGATCCCATCCAGGATACCACATTACATTTAGTTGTCACGTCTCCTTAGTCCCCTATAGTCTGTGACAGTTTCTCAGACTCGCCTTGACAGTTTTGAGGAGTGACTATTGGGTATTTTGTAGACTGTCCCTTGATTTGGGTTTGTCTGGTATTTTTCTCATCAGTAGAATGGGGTTATGGGTTTTGGGAAAGATCACCACAGAGGTGAAGTGCCCTTCTCATCACATCATAGTAAGGGAACATGACTTATCAGTGATGATGTTAACCTTCATCATCTGGCTAAGGCGGTTTGTAGAGTTCCCAACTGTAAAGTTACTCCCCACTCTCCTTCCTACTGTGTGGTCTTTGGAAGTCACTATGCATAGCCCAACATAAACTATTTTGAATTCTTCTTTATGACAGATTTGTCTCATCTTACCATTTGTTTATTTATTCAATCATTTATATCACTAGGAACGCATGGATATTATATTTATTGAGTTATAAGCCAATACTATGCTATTCATTTTGTTGCTCAATTTCTTCCAGCTTTGGCCATTGACAGTTCTTTCAAATGGCTCTAGTGCCCATTTGACAAAGCACAAACTTTTTTTCTTTGTGTTTTTAAGCTCTTCCTTATTTTCTAGCACTACAACGTGCTCCTGGCTCGTCTTGTGCATTCCCTGCCCTAGCCCTAGACTCAGCCATTTAGCCAAGTCTTTTATTAGAGAATGGTACTAAAAACAAAGATCTAGGCACTGGATGTGCTCGTTGCTACTGGCAATTATCCTTTTTGAAGCTGAAATTGTCTCATCTTTGGCCAGTGGAAACATTTTCAAATTTGCTCCAGAATCCTTTTGATATGGCCCTAGTAGTCTTTGAAAGCTTTTCCCCTATCTTGTATGACAAGATGTTTCAAGCTCATCTTATACATTTCCTGCCCATGATTTGGAATTAGCTATTCCTCCAAGTCATTCTGGTTTTCTTTTAATGGGAATGGTATTTCAATACCACAATCTGGGTACTAGGTATGCTCATTACTATTGACCTGGTCATTGTTTCTAAGCCTTTACAGTGAATAGAGCAAAGACATGTGCGTGTTTAAATAAAATTTCTCATGAGCTCGTATTTAAGACTACTGGTTTTTTTTTTTTACCAATTTGCTTGAGTTACATTGGTATTCTTCCACACTGAACATCCTAGCTCTCAAAGAAAGAGGACAGAATTAGAGAATCTCAAATTCATTTATATTATCCTATATTACACAGCCTCAGAATACTACTACTACTATTACCAGCAATATAATTACTGAGCAGTTAAATTTTTGCATATGCTTTCCCCATAAAATGGAAAACATTTTTCAAATAGTTGCACTGTATTTATCTGAGCACTGAACATATAAACGTTATATACCATACTGTCTCCCAATTAAGCCTTTAGTCTTAGTTATACAAGTTAATTGTATGGTCAATGTTCACCACCAGTCCTTACGTCAATGTGTCTCTCATCCTCTTGGTTATTAGAAGCTCATTCCCTAGTAAACTCCTCAGGAAGGACTCAAGTGAACAACATTCCCTGAGTTCCTGCATGTTGATAAATGTTTGTGCCCTTTACACTTGAAAGGCAGTTTTGCCAGATATATCCTTGGCTAACATTCTTCCCTCTTGAGTATCTTAAATAGTGTTACTCCATTTTCTTATGGCATGAAGTGTTAGTGTTGAAAAGTATGATGGTAATTTTTCTTTCCTTTATATATCACCTGATGTTTCTGCTGGAGCTCTGGTGGTTCAGTGGTTAAGTGTTCAGCTACTAACCAAAACGTCATTAGTTTGAATCTACCAGCTGCTCCATGGAAACCCTATGGAGCAGTTCTACTCTGTCTTGTAGGGTTGCTATGACTCAGAATTGACTCGACGGCAATGGGTTTGGTTTGGCTTGGATGCTTCTGCTGAGATGCCTGAGGCATTTTTTTCTTTTAAAGTCAAGTTTTTATTAGAACGTGTCTTGTTGGTCATTCTGGGTAGAAATTTTTAGGTACATGGTGTTTTTTGTCAAATCAGGAAAAAATTTTTTCTTATTTCATCATGTAAAGTTTTCTTAATTACAGTTTTTAGTACTTATACATATGGTCTACTATGCTGGGAATGACCAATTGAACAGGAATGGCAGTGCACTTATTGTCAAAAAGAACATTTCAAGACCTATCCTGAAGTACAATGCTGTCAGTGATAGGATAATATTCATACGCCTAAAAGGAAAACCAGTTAATACGACTACTATTCAAATTTACACACCAACCACTAAGGCCAAAGATGAAGAAATTGAAGATTTTTACCAATTTCTGTGGCCTGAAATTGATCAAACATGCAATCAAGATGCACCGATAACTACTGGTGATTGGAATGCAACAGCTGGAAACAAAGAAGGATCTGTAGTTGGAAAATATGGCCTTGGGGATAGAAACGATGCTGGAGATCACGACAGAATTTTACAAGACCAACAACTTCTTCACTGCAAATACCTTTCTTCAACAACATAAACGGCAACTATACACACGGACCTTGCCAGATGGAATACACAGGAATCAAATCGACTACATCTAGGAAAAGGGACGATGGAAAAGCTCAATATCAGTCAGAACAAGGCCAGGGCCAACTGCAGAACAGACCATCAATTGC